CATTTTGAATTGCATTAACAGAGGCAAGTCCCGGGAAGTGATAGCACCGCTCTATTCAGCGCTGGTTAGGCCTCAGCTGGAGTAGTGTGTCCAATTTTGGTCATCGATGTAGAGAAACTGGGAAGGCTCCCGAGGCGAGCGACAAAGGTGATCCAAGGGATGGAATGCAAGCGCCGTCTGAGCAAAGACTGAAGGAACTGGGTATGTTTAGTTTGGAAAAGAGGAGATTAAGGGGGGCATATGATAGCGGTCTTCAAATACTTGAAAGGCTGCCATAAAAGAGATGGAGAAAAATTGTTCTCTTGCCACAGAGGGCAGGATAAGAGGCAGTGGGTTCAAACTACAGCAGAGCAGATTTAGATTAAATCTCAGGAAAAACCTCCTAACTGTAAGCATGGTAGGACAATGGAACAGATGCCTCGGGAGGTGTGGAAGCTCCTTTGCTGGAGATTTTCAAGAGGCTGGAGCCATCTGTCCTGGATGGTTTATTCCCAACAAATCCTGCATCTTGGCAGAGAGTTAGACACGATGACCCTTGCGGTCCCTTCTAACCCTATGATTCTATGAAAATATCTCTCCCGCCCCCTCCAATTTAGGGCTGAGGAAGCCATCCACTTCTGCAGGTTCTCCAGCGTTAAAACAGTTGCAGCTGGGTTTCCTTGTGTCCCCATTCACATCAACGGGCGGCAGTTCCCAGCCAGACTACATCTCCCATGATGCACCCTGGTGATGGCAGATGTTGTCCTACCAGGGTGCCTGGCCTTGAGAGAAGAATGGGAGCACGAGCTAACTGCACTACGACTCCCATGAGGCACTGCGGCAGCATTTCAGAATGGAAAGATTTTGTTTTTCAGCCAAAAATTCAAACGCTTCTGTGGAAAATTTTGATGAAAACAAATTGGTGTGTGTGTGTGGGGGGGGGAGGATCCAAAGTTTCCGTGAGGGGAAAAAAATACCTGCTTTCTGACCACATCTAATCCAGATTCTCTTGAAACTCAACCGTCTAAGCTGCATGTCACCAGGCGTGTTCTGAATAGGACATGCTGCCACCACCACGGGGCAAGCCAAAGGCAAACGGGATCTCAGGGGATTTATTAAACAATGTTGTGCCTTTCACCCCAAAGTGGTTTATAAATGAGCCGTCCAGACATTGCTTCACCGGTCCCTGAAATGCAGCCACCTCTGGGGCTGAAAGCAGCGTGGTATCTCTTTAGCAGCCTCTCAGCACAAGTTTAGGACTGGATCTTTTCTGGTTGAAATCAGAGGGATGGGAAACAAACCACAGTTATTGCAAATTGCAAATCCAGTCAGTCTAACTCTTGTGATGAGCATCGTGGGTTGGATCTTTAATGACCAGGAGTGGCCAGGCCTCTGTTTGATGTCTCGATTCAACAGCTGCTGGATCTAGGGCATCGGATTCAGTCCCTGGTTAGTTCAGTTTCACTATTTGCTTTTCCGTGATGGCCACTCCTGTTCTGACATGTTCCTGCCCTCGCCGCTGAGGATTAGAGTCAGCCGCACGGAGTAGCTAGTGCTGATCATGTTTCCTTTTCTTTTTTTGTTCTTTTCCTTATTGAGTCAAACATTTGAGTCAAAGCAAAAAGTCAGTGGATTTTTCAGGGGAGTTTCAGCTGGCGCCATGCGGGAAGGCAGTGCGGCCCAGTGGTTAGAGCACGGGATTCGGGAGACCTGGGTTCTGTCCTAGGCTCTGCTGTGTGACCTTGAGCAAGTCACTTCCAGTCTGTGTGCCTCCATTTCCCCGTCTATAAAACGGGCACGGTGATATTTGCCGGCCCTTGCAAAGCGCTTTGAGCTCTCTGGATGGAAAGTGTTGAATGAGAGCGAGGAACTGTGCATTGTTTTTCCATGTATGCATCAGCTCTCTTGATATGTGGTGAAAGGCTGGATGTCCCACAACACCGGTAGCTATTCGCCACTCTCACGTTTCCTGGGGTCAGCTGATTGCTGCAGGGGTCAGATGGGATCTTCGTCTACCCCGTAACGATAATATCGTCTCTTTCTATAGCATCATTCATCATGTGTATATGCAGCCCCACGGACATGCAGCCGCCTCTGGGGCGGAGGGTGGCAATTGATAGGTGCAACTGTAGGGAGAGGAGGAATTCTGGCCAAGGAAAATAGGGCAGATCCCTACTCTTAACGCCCCGGGAGCTTTAACGTTCACATCCAGTGAGACGGGATTTGGGTGTGTGAGGTTTTGCCCATGAGCAATAAACTGTAAGGAACTTTATCTAGCTAGGAGAGAAAGGGCCGCTGTGAACTGATGGATGCAGAGCTCTTCCGCACGGAGCCACCTGTGTAGCATCCTATGGGCCCGCACAGCTGGCCAGGTGCAGCGTGGGCATTTCGTTTCGTGGACCACCATCGCTGAGGATCCCGGCCGGTTCTAACCTGGCCCGCTTCCTCGCTGCGCCGCCCGCTTGGGAAGCGCAGGCTCAGCAGTTGGAGCAATGATGCTCGCTGCTCCCAGAGGCCCTGCCCTGAATAACTCCGCGCCGGGGAGCTTGGAACAGCTGTCGACTCTTTTCTCCTCGCCTGCGCTGCAGCGGAGCGTCGCTGACCCGTCCTGCTGGGCGAGGCGGGGGTGGGATCCCTGGATCTGAACAGGGAAGGAGTCAATCCTGAGCCCTAGGAATGGGAAGCCGCGACCCTCACTGAGCCAGCGTGGCTCAGGAACAAGGGGTCAGCGTATCTGAATGGAGGAGCTGGGCCGTTGGCTTCAACCACTGCCACCAACAAAGGGCGTGTTCCCAACCCGCCCAGCCGCCCGGTGCGGGCCAGCGCAGGGGCGTCCCACTCGCTCAGTGGCCAGGGCCGCATTACCCGCCATGCTGGGGGCTGAGCAGGGCGTGTCAAGCTCACCGGGAAGAGGGCAGCTTTGCAGACCTGTCAGAGAACAGCACGTGCCTCCAGGGCTAGCGAAGCTAAAGCTCATATTGAAAGACGTTGTCAATAAAGTAAATGCATTTGTGAGCACTCTCTTCCTCTCTCCGTTCATGTGCCCCTCTGGGCAACCCCCCCTCACCCCATCCTGGCGCAGCTTCCCACCGACGTAGCCGCCGATCTTTCCGATCCTTTGGGCACGTTGTAGGAGGCTTTAAAATGGCACCAAGTGGGAGCAAAGAGAGAGTTCAAGGGAACTCGCTGACATGGTGTTTAGAGCTTTGGGTTGCCGCTGCCGCCCAGGAAGTGGTTGCGGCTGTGTCTGGAGATTGCTGCCACCCCACCCAGAGCCTCTGAGAAGCAGACCTCGCACCTCCTCTCAAGGCAAACCGAAAGCCGCTCGAGCTGAAAGAAGCCGAGCTGAGCGGCGCTGGGGGATGTCAGTCGTTTGGGAGCCTGCGGGGGTTGTGAACCCCAACCCCGGGCACAGCAGATGTTTCTAGGGTATTTGCTGGGGTGTGTTGTTTCTGATGCGGGTTGCGCTGTGGGTGTGTGACAGAGAGAGAGAAGGGTAGAAAATCTTAATAGGTTTTAAGCCCAGAAGGGTGATCCCTGTGATCTAAGTCCAGGGGTGGCGAAACTTACCGATCCTCCGAGCCACATATGATCATCTTCAGAAGTTAGAGAGCCAGGCACACCTGCTCGGCACTTCTGCCCTGCGGCAGGGCGGGGGGGCTTGGGGTACTGAAGCCCAGCCCTACAGGAGGCATGTGCCCGGGTTCAGAAGTCCCTAGACCAGGGGTTCTCAAACTGGGGGTCAGGACCCCTAAGGGGGTTGCGAAGTTATTACATGGGGGGGGGACATGAGCTATCAGTCTCTACCCCAAACCCTGCTTTGCATCCAGGATTATTAATTTTAAATATATTTTAAAGTGTTTTTAATTTATAAGGGGGGTCGCTATGTGAAAGGGGTCACCAGTACAAAAGTTTGAGAACCACTGCCCTAGACCTTCCCCCCCCCCCCCCCCGGGAAGAAGCCCCTAGCCCCACCATCCGCCGCAAGGCAGAAGCCCCGAGCTCTGGTAGGTGGAGAATGGGGGGGCTCCGTGAGCCGCATTTAACCGTAAAAGAGTGGCCTGTGACCTGCAGCTGGGCCACCCCTGGGGTAGACCATAGGACTTCAATCTTAATGTATTTCCTAAAAGACATGCTTTGAAACAACCCCCAAACTGCAGAAGAAATGAGCAGAGTTCAGTGACTAGTAATGCTGCGTTTCTAGGGTGCCTTCTTCTTGTGTGCACAGAACTCAACGTGCATGTTGCAGCCATTTTACAGATGTGGAAACCGAGGCGCGGATCAGGGAAAGTGACTCACCCCAAAGTCATGCAGCGAGTCAGTGGCAGAACTGGGAATGGAATCCAAACTTTCAGGCATTTTCCCCTGGGTCCCCAACCACTTGACCACACTTCTCCCAGTGCTGTGGGAACAGAATCCAGGAGTCCTGCCCCCACTTCCCTGCTCCGCACACAGCATTTGCCATAGCCAGATACCGTCACGGGTCCGTCTAGTCTGATATCCTGCCTCCTGCTGTGACCAATCCCTACTGGAATTCCAAAAGCTAAAAAATTGTGCAATGCTCTCCCATGGGGTAAGAGGTTTCCTTCCTGACCCCTGCCGCTTGTGCCCTGAAGCATGAGATCTGTTAATCAGATGTATTGTTTAACTGACCAACAGCACAACCTCTGGACTTGGGAAAGTGTGCTCCTGGAAGGCTACCTTGGCTGGCGTGGGGGAAGCTACATGACGTGCAGCCTAGTAACTTTAGGGCTCTTTGTGTTCCTCTGAGACGGCTGGAGACCTCAGTGGACGGGTATTTCCAGCTTATGTCTGCTTGGGCTGACTGAGTCATTCTCTTCTCTGCCACAGTGCCCTGGATGGAGGAGACGCTGTAACCCAGCCCTCTGGAGATGATGGTACCCCAGTCATGGGATGCACGCAGGGTGGGGTGTAGCTGGAATGGAGTTGTGCCCCACAGACTGCCCGTGCTCTGATGCATCCTGATAAGTCTCCTAACCAAATCTCTCCTTCTGTGATAGGTGTGGCCAGCGCAGGGGACCTGAACGGTGACACACGACCCTGAGAGCTGAAGGGGAAAGTGACCTTCCCCCGCTTCCCTTGGGATTTCCTAGCCGAGACCAACTACACCTGCTCCATGGAGTGACTCAGAGCTGGGCCTGGGCTGCCATTTCTCTTGGGTGTAAACCCTCCCAGTTCAAGTGGGAGTGAAGCCGGGGGCCGGAGGAGCCTTGACCACATCTGGAAGCGGAGCGACCAGAAGGGGGGAAAAAAAGAAAAACTGGAAGCCTCTGCGAATATGAGTGACTTTTGGCACAAGCTTGGCTGCTGCGTAGTAGAGAAACCACAACCGGTAAGTCGCTCCCATGTAAACTTGTCACCTGTTGATGCTGTCAGCTTGGGACGAGGTGGGAGGGAGGTACAGTGCAACATGGCCACATGGGGTTTGCTCTACCGGATCAGCTTATTGCTCCCTGTAGTCTAGTACCCTGACTTCATCCCGACTCCTGCCCTACCCGATCGGTTCATTGTTCCACTTAATCTGGAGGAGAACATCTGTCAACCCACCCCGTTGTCATGGTTACAGAGCTAGCTGCATCTTGGAGTGCAAACCCCACCTCCCCGGTGTCCGGGCTCTCCTGGGCTGGAATTCTGCAGTTCTGCACCCTTAGCCCTTGTCTACATGGGGATGCTCAGGCTTTGTCTATGCTAGAAACACTACACGGAGTGTAGAGACTTACTACAGTGACAGGAACTGTAGTGACATCCACCTCTCGGAGAGGCGTGAATTTTTTAATTCAGATTAACTTTCCTGAGCGTCCCCATGGAAACGAGGCCTTAGACTGGGCTCTAGGCTACAACATCCTGTGCTTAGCCAGTGGGGCTGACAGAGCTTGGACAGCTGCGGTTCTTCCCTTCAGAAGTCGGGGACCAAAGCGTCGGTTGTTTTTAGCTGTAGGAACAAAGCATAAGGGAGGAAAGGATTGTGGAAGAGGCTACAGGCGTCCCCGATGGTAAACGAGGCAGGCGTAGCTTCTTCAGTCACCCCCCCCAGGTGCCTGTGTCTAAGGGTTGGTCTACAGTGAAAAGTTACGTCAGTCAGGGATGTGAAAAATCCACACACACCCCAGCAACATAGTTAACCTGACCTAATCAGCGGCGCAGACAGTGCTTCCGAGCTACGACCTGTCGGGAAGATGGATTAACTGCAGCGATAGGAGACCCTCTTCTTAGAGTAGGCAGTGTTTTACACTAAACTGTGACAGCGGTGCAGTTGGTGTAGTTGTAGGTTGGTTGGTGCCGGAGATGAAATCATCAAGCTAACAGATCTGCCGTTGTCTCTTAACAGCTCTTAGGTGTTTGCTGAGGGGTGGCTATCTAGAGCCATTCTTAGCCTTCCTGCTTGTTTCTCTGCCCCCCTTCCCCCGCCTTGAATTAAACCAATATATTCATACAGTAACATCCCAACAATCAGGTCAACGCACAGTAGTCATCGATTCCAGAGCAGCTCCAAATCCATATCACCTGTCTCCTGCATTCTGGATCAGACCATTGAGCCATCTAATGCTGAAATCTGCTGCCTCCGCAGAAAGAGGCAAGGGAGAAGCCCCCCCGTTATGCTTGGCCAATTGTGCAGTTCTGCAGGAGAGAGATTCCTTCCTGGCCCCTGCCTCAGTCAGCCCTGAAGCATGAGACTTGGTTGCTCTTATTTTAGGCAGCAAAGCTACAAGAATCGTTTCCTAGCCCCATTTGGGCTCAGTTCAGAGAAGCAGCTTCCCAAACGAGGTATCATGCAGCTCCCCTTGTTTGTTTGCTCTCAATGACTCCAGTTCAGATCTGCTCAGTGTAGAAGTAATACTCTGTTTTAAGTCACGGTTCTGGGAGAGTGAGCTGGATTCGGCACTAGCTCGTGCATCGTGAGTGCTTAAAGCTTCTGCAGCAGGAATGAACTAACCTGGTGGTGAGCTGGAACAGAACCTAGCTCACCCTCCCAGAGCTGGGCGCTGGGTCTGTAGGGCTAAGCGGCCAAGACTCTAAATACACATGCAGGGGGCAGGACCATTTGCTTAGGAAGGAGCCTTTTTTTCTGAGTCACTTTTCAGACTAGAACCACGCTGTGAAACATTCTGGCTGGATTTAACTCTGCCCACTGAAACGTCACCACCTCATCCGTGTCCAGGGCTGTCTTGCTCCCTTGCTCCAGCCCGGGCAGCGTTTGTTCAGGGGGCTAATGCATCTTCTTTCCTGGCTCCCCTATTCTGCACTGAATCGTCGTCTAGAGGAGCAGTTTGTAGGGAATCGGCGCCCCTCTGCTCTTATCCTGGCCAGCCCAGAGGAGCAGGTATCTGGAGCAAGGGAGGAAGCCCGTGGGTGTTAATGCAGAGGTTTTGCCCCCCCGGCACATGTCCCAGGATTTCAGAGGGGGGTAGAGCGATACAGAGAGGCTGTTCCAGGGCTGCAGAGGAGAAGGCTCTCGCACCAAGAGGAGTAAGGTGGTGCTGAGGGACAGAGGCCAGTGGAGGAGGGGAGCAGGGTATCGAGTTCTAGGGGGTCAGAAGGGAAGGGAAGTAACTTGCCCAGAGTCACGTGGTAGAGCTGGCAAATAAACCCAGGAGTTCGGATGCCCAATCCTGTGCTTTACTCATTAGACAATGCTCTCTGCCATCTCCCCTTCCATCTGCTTGCTTTGCTTGCTTTGCTCAATCTCTAGGTGTTTGTCTCCTCCCCCTAGCCTCAAGCACAGATGAACGCACGCGCGGGCAGCCCCGTCAGCTGGGAACTGGAGGGGGTGAGCAGTGCCAGCCGAATACCAGTCTGCAAAGCTGCATTAGTCCTGGCACCAAAGGCCCCTTGGCGATAAGAGCCATGTTCCCCTCCCGCGGAGCAAAGCGCGGAGACAGGAATCCACCGGCGCTTGCTGCCAACTTCCAAAGCCTTCATTAATTCACTAGCTTGTTTGGGCCTTTCTTTCCCTGGGCTGGAATGTGCTTAACCCTTGGCGTGCCTGGCCCGGGGCAGGCCTGGTGCACGGTTGCTGCTGGGTGTGGTCCCTCCTCTGCAGGTATGTGGGGGACGCACCAATTGGACTAGGTTGCAGTTAGAGGTTGCACCAAGGTCTGACCGCTGAGAGTTATTGTGTGTGGCTCCCTGCTGCTGTGCCAGCCTCCCCTTTCTGCTCTGCTGCCAGCCATCTGTGCCGCCTCCTCCCCCCACCCCCCCACACACAGGCAGTTCTCATAGAAATCTAAAAATAATCTTCTGCCCTGAAATGCGAATAGAAACTTGCGAGCTGGTTCCCTCTGGGGCCCTGGGCTGCTTGGAGTATCAGCATTAACCCTTCTAAGGAAGAGTTTGGGTTTGATTCGATCAGGTTCATCCTTCTCCCCCTGTCGCACTATCCACCTTCCTCCCAGGCACCAAGAGAGGGTCTGGTGTAAACCCCCATATGGCGCTTGGCCCTCTGGCCAGCTCATCTTTTAGGCCACCCTTTCCAGGGTTACACCTTCCAACAGGACCCACTGACCCAGTGCTGTCCCCAGCTCGAAGCTCAACGCCACAATACCAGTGGTTGGCGGGGAACCCAGCCCACCCCTCCAGCAGATTCCAACCCAGGGACCCTACCAACCAGCAATCCAGGTTCTCAGGCCCCTTCTGCTCTTTCCCTGGGCTGCTTCCTGCCAGCCTCCCTATCTTCTCCTTCCGGGTTTCTTGTCTTGCTCTTCTTTCATGGCAAACCAGGCTTGACGGGTTAGTCTATAGTCGCCACCAACTACCTAGCAGTTTATAGTCTCTTGTTCTGCCCTGTGTCTATCGAGTAATGGAACCACACCGTTCTAACAGTGCCCCCTTTCCCCAGTAGTTTCCCTAAATAACCTCATGTAACATTTGTAACCTTGAGCCATTTCAATTCCTCAGAGCTTTTCCCTTTCTTTATCAAAGTCCTTCCATATCCAGGAAAGGTGAGCCATTGTTTCTTCTGCGGACACATAGTCCACCTTTGTGTTTATTGATTCGAAAAAGATTTGCATTCAAACCACAGGGGCCGATTAATACTCCACACAAAATCATTTCATTTTTCTCATCCGGGCCCTAAGGTATGTCATTATCCTCAACTCTAGGGCACAATCCAAAAAATCTTTTTCCTTTGGTTGTTTGTTTTTGTTTTGTTTTAATTGATCCAAATTTTTTGCATTCTTCTCTTAAATTTTGCTGTACTAGGCTTTTGAATTCCTGTCTACTCACGAGACAAGGTGAGGGTGAGACAATACCTTTTACTGGAGCAACTTCTGTTGAAGAGCTCTGTGGGCTCAAAGGCTTGTCTGTCTCTCTCTCCAATAAAAGAGATTCCTTCACCCACTTTGTCTCTCTAATAACCTGGACTGACGTTGCTCAAACACACGGAAGGGTTTTTCTGTATCAAGCCTCCCATTTCTTACAGTGCTTTTAGCTGCTTTGTCTGTCATTTCATTCCCTGTTAGCTTGAGATGGGCTGGGATCCAAGCTAATGCTACTTGCATCCCCATCTGTTCTAGTTCGGTTATGCGAAATATCATTTCATTGATTTTTAAATCACTTCTACATACGGCGACACCCCTTTTTTGTTATTGCAATAAGGCTTGATATTGAGTCAGAAAAGATGACTGGCTGCCACTGCTGGCTGTACATCACCGATCCCGTTTAGTGCCAGCATTGTTGCTACCAGTTTGGCTGGCATGATGGTTACAAAATCGGTTATTCTTTTAGATGCACTAATTCCTGACGTTTGGTACACAATATGCTGTTTCCTGCTCTTCCTGGTTTTTCTTTTTTGGACCCATCTGTACATATTTGACAAAAACGACTCCACTTTTCATCTAGATACTGGTACACTTAATTTTTTTTATACCTACTGTCTCCTATTTATCTGTAAGTTTATCAAATAAATCTAAATCCACATTTGGACATGTGGTTTTCCATCCATAACTAATTTTCCCATGACTAAAAGTTTTCACTTCGCTTAGCTTTTCCTTGTCTTTCAACTCCTGCATCCACATTTTAATTGGACGGCATGTGGAGTTCTAACGTTGTAAGTGCTTTAGTTCGCCTACTGAAATCCCAACAATCCTCATACACTTGTTTGGTATGTTTCATCACTGTAATCCCCATTAACTTTGGCCCAGAAAGTTAGATCCGGTAGTTTCATTTGTGGTGGAACTGGCATTTCACTAGCAGCTGCCTGTAGCGCTCCTATGGGTGTTGTAATAAATGCACCACACACAACTCGTGGTGCCTGTGCTTGTTTTCAATCTAATTTATCAAGTTCTGCTTTTGATGCTTACCCAAGAGCTTGGCAGCCATAGCTGATAGATAACTGGTCTGATTTAAGGCTCCGTATGCCATCAGCTGTGTTTTCTTATTCACCCCCAAATTAGTCCCAGCAAGACTTTTTAAGCAGGTTGATCCTTCCTTTGCATTTATCTTTAGCAATCTGTATGATCTTTCCAAAGTAATCTATCAAATATACCCCTAGAAATCAAAACCTTTTAACTCAATTTAGTTGTTCTCTATACAGACCCAGTTTACATTCCTTCGTAGCTTTCCTCTTTGTGAAGAACAATCCTTTTGTTTTACAACGGAGAACTTGAAACCCACATGCATTTCTCCAGGCTGAAGTCTCTAGTAGTGCTTTGTTGAGTCGCTCTTTCCGGCCACCTCAGCATTCCTGCTCCTAACTCATCCAGCACAATCCTCTGAAAATAGAGGGACACCAGTGCTTATTTGTTTTGAAGATCTGTCCCACTATTAAATGATGCCGGGCTGATGGCACTTCCCTGTGGTGTACCATTGTTAAAATGATATTCGACATAACTTTCCCCACTCTGACCTGCGGGGTCCGTTTACTCAAAAATTCTCTAATCCATTCACACATTCTTCCCTTTATCCCCACTGCACCTACGTTGTGCAGTCAGCCCCTTTCTGATCTCAGCTTCTTGGCTTTATAATACTGGTCCAACTCTTCCCCTGCTGGGTTTCTAGCTCAGTTGACCCTGGCCCGTTTTTCTCTCAGGTGAGGCCAGATGACTTAATTGGCCTCATGGGCTCTCGTTTGTGGCTGATGTGGGCTGCACATGCCATGGTAGCGTAGCTCCGTTGAAGTCAGGGGAGGAAAGTCTGTTTGTTTATTAGAGCTGGTCAGGAAATGGGAACGTCTGGCATTTTGAAACCTCTTTTTGTCCCAAATGAGAACAAAGTGTCCAAATTTTAAACTTTGCCGCACAATGAAATTTTGAAGACGTCGTTTCAGAAACATCAAAACAACCTTATTGATGTGTTCTGTTCTGACTCTTTTATTCTGCATTTTCATTTCAACTGTAATGTCCCCTATAAATTAGAAGTTTCAATGACTTCCCGTCAATTTTCAACGAAATCGATACGTTCCCACGAAATGTCTGTATTTTGTTGAATCAGCATTTTTCGGTGGCAAACCATTTGGTTGGAAACATTTTTGACTAGCGCTGCAGTTTATGCCCGCTGAGGAGCCAGCCCATGCCCGGAGCGGAACAATGGTCCAGCCAGTCCAGTCCCGTCTCTGACCGTAGCTGATGCCGAATGTTTCACATCCTGTCCATAATGCAAGCAACGCCGATACTGTGAAAAGAACCGGGCCCTGTATTCTGCAATCTGGATCCCCTAAGCTGCTAGGGGAGCCTGGCCAAAGGGTTAGATAGGGAACGGGCTGCTTCCAACCTGGGCATCCCAATGCTGCTGCAGCAGCCTTTCTGCGCTCTGCATCCATCCTCTCGCTTCCTATTGAAAGGACAGCATATTTTGAAATATTTCCTCACAGTTGCAGCCTGGGTTCTCGGCTTCAAAGCGCCGGTCTCTACAGCTAGCGGGCGTTGTGGCCAGACATCCTGTCAAAACTTACGCAGAGTGTGGTGGGGGGGGGGAGGTGAAGTCACTGTTTGCTACCTGACAGAGGCAGAGAAGTGAAGGCTGCAGGCCAGCAGGAGATCTGATGCGGGGATCGCAGGCCCCATTGGCAGCTGAGCGTGGTTAGATGTAGCCACGTCACGTTCACGAGCCGTGGTTAGATCTGTCTCTCACCTATCGCTGGAGTGTCTAGCGCTTGGAAGTCCCCCTCCCTCTCCAGAGCAGTTAGGTTTAACTTACCCTATTTGAATGGTGGGGGTATTTTCCCCCCCACATCCCTCCTTCGTTCCACAATAGACGTCCTCTCAAACCCGCCCCCATGTTGTGGGTTGGGAAGTTCAGCTGCAGCGACCGCTCTTGGGCTGGCGGTAGGGCAGGAAGGTTTGCTCACTGCTACTGTCTAAGCTCCTGCCCTGGGATATCTTAAAATCCTTTGACGTCTTCTCCGATGGGGTTCTGACTCTCCAGCTGGGATGTGTCTCCCTCTCCTTGTGTTTGCCCGCAATCCGCAGGAAGTACCCAAACCAGATCAGACCCATGGCCTAACTGGCCTGCCTTTGGCAGTAGCCATGAGCAAAACCCCTTGGAATGCACCTGGCCAGTGGGCACGAGGCTGTAACTTGGGGGCTGGCATAGGGTCTCGGGGATCTGCTGCCTCACTACACTCATTCACCCCAGCACCAGGTCTGGGGGCCAGGAAGGAATGTTCTGGTCAGGGAACATCAGCCGGGCCCTTGGCCAGGACGAGTGTATCCTCTATGGAGCGAGGATCGGGCAGGCGATGGATTTCATGTGATTACCGGGGAATCCCCTGTCTCCGGGCGTCCTTCCCATCTGAGATGCCCTCCTTCCCCAGCCACTCTGGGGACAAACTTGTTTGGGCTGGCTGAGCTTCTGCTTTCTGGGTCTCTTAATGACTCAAGCTCTGGAGGCTTGACACGAATCTGTCACATACACACACTCCAACAACTTTCTTCCATTTCATGGGCTCTGGGCTAGATTCCGCTCTCACTCCATGGACTTCAGGGTGTTACGCTGACTCTAGCAGTGGACCTGACAGCAGAATCTGGCCCACAGGGGACTGATTCTGGCCCCTGAACGCCATTCCAGCAGTGCAAAGGGCCTGTGAAGAGGTGGCTAGGGGAGAATTTCCCCAGAGCAGGAGCAGCACAGGGCAGGGTATGTGGCTCTGTGTTGTCCCCTTTCCCTCTCGAGAGACACAGCACAGAATCGCTGCCTGCATTGTTCTAGGAATCAGCCAGCTAGGATGTGAGTTCTAATCCTGGTGCTGCCACCAACTCCTCTGCAACTTTGGCCAAGTCCCTGTCCCTGTCTGTGCTTCAGTTTCCCCATGTGTAACTCGGGCACGATGAAACACTCCCTCCTACATAATGCACTTTGAGAGCCCTTAAAAACCACACAAAGGGGCAAAACAGTATTATTTAACCCACTAAGTGCCCTTGCCATGAAGCCCAGTGGGCACACTCCGTGCCCCAAATGCCTGTCAATGATGCATCTCTCTTTGCCAGCAGGAAACTAATGTTAATTTCTGTGTCTGTTAAGTCTTCATTTTTGTTCTCCCTGCAGAAAAAGAAAAGGAGGCGAATTGACCGCACTATGATAGGGGAGCCGATGAATTTTGTACACCTGACGCACATCGGATCAGGTGATATGGCAGCTAACGAGGGCCTTCCCATGGTACCGTATCATTTACTTCTTAATTTGGTGCAGAGGAGAATCTGTAGAATAATACCCCACTGCAACTGCAGGGAGGAAACCGAGGGCTTGTCTACACAGGGACATGAAGGAAAGTTGATCCAAATTAACTAACTGTGTAAATTTGCAGTGGATTAGTTAAACTACATTAAACCTCTTTGTGAACACCCTCATTTAGGACCAATCCTATTCAACTTATTCATAAATGATCTGGAGAAAGGGATAAAAAGTGAGGTGGCAAAGTTTGCAGATGATACTAAACTGCTCAAGATAGTTAAGACCAAATCAGACTGTGAAGAACTTCAAAAAGATCTTACAAAACTAAGTGATTGGGCAACAAAATGGCAAATGAAATTTAATGTGGATAAATGTAAAGTAATGCACATCGTGGATAGTTCTCTGAAGACGTCCACGCAGTGTGCAGCAGCAGTCAAAAAAGCAAACAGGATGTTAGGAATGATTAAAAAGGGGATAGAGAATAAGACAGAGAATATCTTATTGCCCTTATATAAATCCATGGTACGCCCACATCTTGAATACTGTGTACAGATGTGGTCTCCTCATCTCAAAAAAGATATACTGGCACTAGAAAAGGTTCAGAGAAGGGCAACTAAAATGATTAGGGGTTTGGAACGAGTCCCATATGAGGAGAGATTAAAAAGGCTAGGACTTTTCAGCTTGGAAAAGAGGAGACTAAGGGGGGATGTGATAGAGGTATATAAAATCATGAGTGGTGTGGAGAAAGTAAATAAGGAAGTTATTTACTTGTTCCCATAATACAAGAACTTGGGGCCACCAAATGAAATTAATGGGCAGCAGGTTTAAAACAAATAAAAGGGAAGTTCTTCTTCACACAGCGCACAGTCAACTTGTGGAACTCCTTGCCTGAGGAGGTTGTGAAGGCTAGGACTATAACAGCATTTTAAAGAGAACTGGATACATTAATGGAGGTTAAGTCTGCTAATGGCTATTAGCCAGGATGGGTAAGGAATGGTGTCCCTAGCCTCTGTTTGTCAGAGGGTGGAGATGGATGGCAGGAGAGAGATCACTTGATCATTACCTGTTAGGTTCACTCCCTCTGGGGCACCTGGCATTGGCCACTGTCGGTAGACAGGAAATTGGGCTAGATGGATCTTTGGTCTGACCCAGTATGGCCGTTCTTATGTTCTTATTTAGAATTAAAATGGCCTTAATTTGGTTTCTGAATGAAGGTGTTCACACAGCGGTTTATTCAGAAACCAAATTAAGGCCATTTTAATTCTAAATGAGGGTGTTCACACAGAGGTTTAATGTGTTTTAACTAATCCACTTCAAATTCACACTGTTAGTTAATTCAAATTAACTTTCCTGCATGTCCCCATCTATATAAGCCCTCGTGCTACCCCAGCGAGCTGCAGAGAGGTTACCACTGAATCAAAACAGACCTCTCTAATTCTGCCTAGAGCAGCCCCTTCTGGCTACAGGTACATCAGCCTTGCAAAATTCCACTCTCCTGCTTGCTGGACTGGTAAATTTTCATGACTCTTTTGCAAGACCGACTTAAAATAATACCAAGCAGCAGCATTTATTGCCCAGCATGGGAACCAGTAAACGAACTCTCCGTCAGAGCCGAGACGCTGCTGTTGTGCTGCTTTTGTCTAAAATGAATGTCCTGTTTGTGTGACTAAAAACTCTGTGGAGGGGGAACTTCACCCTGGGATAAGTGCTGAGCCTTTGACAGATGAGCAAAATGCTGTGGGGTGCGTGTCTGCAGGTGGAACAAATGGGTAGAGAACGTGGTCTAGTGCACGAGTTCTTAACTTGGGAGTCACGACTGCCCTTCTAATGCTGCAGAATGAGGGAGAGGGGAGTCCTGGCAGGGGATCCCAGGGTGGAAACCATTTTCATGTTTAGAGGAGTGGGGGATGGCTGTGTTTGTAGAGCACCTAATACAACTGGGCCCTGACTGACTAGGGTCTACGTAATAGGGATAATTAATAACAGTCTAGGCAGTTGGAGGAATGGAGGAGACCCTTGTGACTAAGGAACAGGACTGGATGTCTGGACACCTAGAGGCAATTCCTATCTCTGCCACGGGTTCACTTTGTGACCCTGAGTAAGTCACTTGGGCTTGTGGGTTAGTCTGAGGGCTTGTCTACATGGGGACATGCAGGAATATTAATCCGAATTAACTAAAGGTGTGAATTTGAAGTGGATTCGTTAAACTGCATTAAACCCCTATGTGAACACCCTCACTGAGAACTGAAGTGGCCTTAATTTGGTCTAGCTAAATTCACTTTCAAAGTGAATTACACTAAACCGAATTAAGGCCACTTAGTTCTGAATAACAGTGGTCTCATGGGGATTTAATACTGTTTAAATAATCCACTTCAAATTCACACCTTCAATTAATTCGGATTAATATTCCTGGATATCCCCATGTAGACCTGCCCTAAAACTCCTTGGCATTCTGCTGCTAGGAGGCCTAAAAGGAAGGTGTAGCTGTTGCTGCTCTTGGGGCCCCTCTAGTGGGCTGTCTGTGAACTTTATGCTTCTAAGGACTGCCTGCACACCCACTTACTAAACAATAACTGACACCGCACCAAATGGATTTTTACCAGCCTATTTACATATGTAACATTAAAGACACTGTTAAGTGCATGGAAATGCCTCCTTGTGACCCGACACACCCAGGCTTGCTGCTGCCTCCCTTCCACTAGATCAATCACACCCACCAGAATCTGTTTGGCTCAGCAGCTGCGTTTGGAGGCCAGGGTGAAAGCTAACCCAACAGACTGTGCCCTTTCATAGGGAGGGACTCGGATCTATCCCCCCCTCAATTTCTTAAAGCCTGTGGGGCTTAGGCTTCCATTGGAGGTGGCCTCAGGGACCACAGGCAGATCTGATCCTGAGTAAATGTTCCTAGAGGAGGGCTACTGGGGGGATTTGGGCCATGAGGCTAAATGGCCTGAGCCAAGCAGTAGGAGGAAGAGGTGGGATGCAGGGAGACTTGCAAATGAAAAACGCTGACTCTCTGGCTGTTTTTCAGACTGGGAAGCATCTACCTCAGGCTTCTGAGTGGCTGGTTTCGAGCGAAACTCTGGTCCCACGGAGGGCAGTGGGAGTTCTGCCATTAGGATCTGGATTTTGCGCTTAGTCCGATCGAATGAGTTTGTTTATTTCCGTGCGTCTGGCGCCTGTGTAGTTCTGTGATACAAGGTTCCTGACCTGCACACGTTCTATTCTCCCTCTCAAGCCACCTCATTTATCCAGCCTTCTGCAGGGGAAGCCTAAGACGCTCCCGATCTCTAGGGCGCCCTGCGCGGCCTCTCCATCCACCTGTGGAATCTTCCATTGGGCCAACTGCTAGCTTGGGCGCCCTAGCTGATTGCAGCTGCTGCGGTATCATGTTGGGAAAAAGGCAGCTTCTAATGGCAGCCAGACGCCCAAACGGATGGGAGTAAATGCCTGGGAGTGTTTACCCTTGCTGCTCTCTTGAGTGTGTTCCTCCCGGCCTGGCATTCTCTCTGCCCGCGCGTCTGCGCCTCTTGCAGCGTTCTGCTCTGCGTTATTTAAGCAGTGGAAATCTTTACGTAAGAGCCTCCTCGTTCCCCAGCTGTAATGTCCAAGTGCCCTGTGCGCTCTTCTAAAGTGCTTCCTCCAATCCAGCTGCCTCCCGAAGCCTGGATTTATCAAGCACCACAGCACGGCATCAGGGAACGTTGCCTCCCTGCAGCATGGCATGTACCTTAGCCAGAGCAGAAGCTTGCATGTACCTAAGCAGCGGCACTTAACTAAGATGTGGCTCTGGCATTTGGAGTATCATTTGCGTCAGGAAGACAGATTCTCTCACATCCTTCTGGACTTTGGGGCTTCTCGGCTTTCACAGGCTTCTCCGTGGCATAAAGCCACGAGCCGCGTTAGACATTTGATTCACTGCTTTGGCAAGAAGGCCCTGCGCTCCACAGATACGGCCTCCTCGAATGGAATAAGCACAGGAGTGGGCGTCGGGAGTCCTGGGAACATCTGCCCTGCCGCTGGCTTGAGCACTTCACCTTTCTGAGCCTCCTTTTCCCTATCTGCAAAATGGAGATAATGCTCAGGTAGCAACCTATCCACTCACCGCAGAAAAATCGACAGGGGCTTTCCCAAAGAGGCAGCCCGTACCCCCATGCCACGTCTTAGTCCTTTTCCTGGTCTGTCCTCACAAGTGCATGTTTGCTTCAGGATAGTAACGGCACTGAGAAGAGCCCCCAGTGCTCCGCACCCTATGCATGTCGCACGGACTCTGTCTGGGTAGAACCAGCCACTAGAGCTGTACCCAAGTGACTTCATAGGTGTCTCCCTTCCGAACTGGGTGGTTCAAGGAAACATAGGGTGACTAGGCTTATCCCCGCTGGATCGTCGGTTCAAATCCAGTCCTGGGTGGCTCTAGTCAGGTCTTGGAGCACAAGCATCCCTATCACAAAACCTAGCATCACGAGTGCTGATGGCAGCACAGGCCAAGGACTGGATGGATCCCAAATTCTGAGCCTCGCAGGTCAGGACTGAGAGAGGATGGAGGGGGAAGCCATCAAGGCTGGTGTCCCTTGTTCGGTGGATACGTAGGCTTCAGCCAGGCTGCCAGTGTGGTGGTCTCTTAGATCGGGCACTGTCCGCTGGAGACAGCTGCCAATGCTGCCCGGATTCCTGCTGACAGTTGTCATGGTTGTTACTGTGCTGGCTGTGTCGTTTCAAGCCATGACCTGTAAAGGAGAAGAAGGGGGCATCTCCTCCCCCCGACCTCCTCAGCAGTAAAGATTTTGCCACCAAGCTTCCTGGAGGAGGAGAGTGTCACGTACTGAAGAGCGACACAGGAGATATTTGTTGTGACATGTTGGCTGTCCTTCCTGCAGCTGACGGGAAGTTGCTCACAGCCTTGGTGAAATCGTTCTTGACTGTGACTTGCAAATCCTAGCAGCAGAGTGTTTAATTTGGCAGGCTCGAGGGCGAGGGAGTTTCACAACAAAGGTAATCTGATGGGTCGGCTGTAGGGCTTTTTTTTTTTCTTCTCCTCTAAATGCACTTGGAGCACAGAGCGGGCCTGAGCAACTCTTTCTGCATGGCTGACTACTCCTTTTGTGGCTCTGGGTCTAGTTGTCCACATTCTTGAGTCCATTCAGGGTGTGGACTGGGATTCTGGACTCCTGGGTTCTCTTTGCACCACTCCCACTGACTCTTCTCGTTTGTTTTCTCACTTAAACAAAAACACTTCCTGGGAACCACAGCCAAGGAAGTGAGCCGCAGGGCTGGGCCAACAAACCAGTATGAAGTGTTTTTCTCTGGAACCCCCCTAGGTTTTCCCCTTGATCAGCGTACTGAGTGCACAGAGTGCAGCGCGGTTTGAGATGGGAATGGGGTAAAAGCTGGGCTCAGTGAAGTAAAGACCCTGTAGGAAATCTAGAGGATCCTCCTCCTTTATATAAAGCTCTGCCCTTTGGCTGCAAGCTGGTGTATTCCAAGGGCATAACATTTACTCTTCAGAAGAAGCTTGGGCCTCAAGGAAATCAGACCGAGCAGAGATGGTTCAATGGGAACTTGATCATTCAGAGCAAGGAAAATTGTCCTTCAATCTGCTGAGAACTTTAACAAGGTGCTGCCCTACCTGAGCAAGGATAAGGAATCCAACTACAGAGGTTCCCAGGTGGCTCTTTCCACCAGTGACTGACGTCAGCACCATTCACAGGTTCTTGGATTCTACAGCCAGAAGAGACCACAGTGATCATCTAGTCTGACCTCCTGAATGGTGCAGGCCAGGGAACTGCCCTGAATTAATTCCATTTCTCCCTTGCCACTTCACGGATTTTTATGGCCAAACAGCTATCCGCTTTTTGCAGCCTCTTCAGGAGCTCTCCCTTATTCCACTGTCTCCATTCCTGACAGTGGGGGACTTTCCCTTTCGGATCAGGTCACTGAAAGACAACATTAAAGACAGTATCCTCTGATTTCATACAGCCCCCACCCCAGTTGGTATGCTCTAGATCAGTGGTTCTCAAACTTTTTTTTTTTTTCCGCTGACCACTTGAAAATTGCTGAAGGTCTCGGCGGACCATTTAATGATCTTTCCAAATGTTGTTTGTACCGTTAGCTAACTATTATAAAGCACTTTGGATAAAAGCGCTATATAAAAAACCCCAATAATAATTAATGTTTTTTTGGTCTACAAATAAAAGCACACAACTCATATTTTAATATCAGTAGTCTTACCTTTCTAATGCGATGGAGGTGCCCTCTCTCCCCTGCCGCGGCAGCCCCCGAGCTGGGGCTGGGAAGGAGCGGGGCCTCTCCCCTGCCGCGGCAGCCCCTGAGCTGGGGCTGGAAAGGAGGGGGGTCTCTCCCCAGCAGCCGCAGCCCTGGAGCTGGGGAAAGTCGCCTCTTTCTCTGGCCGCTGCAGCACTTTACGTCCCAAATTCCCCCCACTCCCCTTCTCACCTCACTGCCCCCTCCCACCTACCCCCATTCAGGGGTGGCTCTAGCTTTTTTGCCGCCCCAAGCACGGCAGGCAGGCTGCCTTCGGCGGCATGCCTGCAGGAGGTCCCCGGTCCCGCGGATTCGGTGGCATGCCTGCGGGAGGTCTGCCGGTCCCACAGATTCGGCGTACCCGCTGCCGAATCCACAGGACCGGCAGACCTCCCGCAGGCAAGCCGCTGAAGGCTGCCTGCCTGCCGCCCCAGGCACGCGTTTGGAGCGTTGGTGCCTGAAGCCGCCGCTGCCCCTATTTCCCCCCCCAAGGCCACCACCTCACCTTACATGTGCGTCTTCTCCAGGGTCCAGGCACCTAATTAGTGGAGCCATGCATGCGTGGCTCCACTAATTAGGTGGGTGGCCCTTCATTCTCTTATGTGCAGCCGCCCAGGCGCGCACCTTAGAGGGAACTATCCACGGACCACCCGGAAGGAGCTCGCGGGCCACTGATGGTCCGCAGACCAGTTTGAGAACCTCTGCTCTAGATGATAGCCTAGCCTGGTCCATCTGCTCTTCTCCGGGTAGTGAATGTGTGGCTTCTGACCCCAGGCTGCCGTGGTACAAGTCCAGGTCACTTACCAGCTTGCAGAAGCAGCCACTGGGAAGGCAGATGCCAAAGGTTGGGTATGGGCACTGGCCAGAAGATAACAGGGCCTGATTTATTCTCAGGTATGCAGGGGGGGGGTTGGAGTTGTGGGAACTGGGCTTGGAAGGTCTGAGTGTAACTCATGAGCCCTAAGATTAGGGATTAACCGGGCATGTTTGTTTTGTGATCAAAGGGTTTCACTTGGGGAAAGTGATAGAATAGGTCCGCCTGCAAGAAAGGCCACAATTAAGGCCATGCTGGGACCGGGCGGAGGCAGCTAACCCATGATTCGGCTGGAGCCGGTATAATCTTGTTTTGCAGCAAGACGGAGACGTGCTGCAAACACAAATGTGGTCAAAGTTAGCTCAGCAGATTGGCACATGCTCTGCCCAGGCTTATAGCGAGCTGCCTGGCTGCCTTACGTTCTCTTAGCTGGAGCTCTGCGGGGATCTGATCCTGCCAGGTGCTCAGCGCCTCCCCAATGGCACCGAGTGCCCTCCCCTCCCGTGAGAAGGGACGGCGCTCGGCAGCTAGCAGGGTGAGGGCAGCGGTTACATAACTCCTTTTTCCATTTGCGAGTGTCAGGTCAGCCTGAGAACGAGTTGTATTTTGCCAGGTTGCTCCTGCCCAGTTCATTAAACCTGCTTAACTCTGAGGGTGGGGCCTGGAAGCAGAGAGAGAGAAAGCACAAGTCCATGAGTAATTCTCCTTGGGATCCAGCCTGTCCTTGCCAGGCATGCAGACGCACTGTGCGCTGAAAAAGGGTGGTGAATGATGGCAGTGAACTCTCTCAGAACGCCGTGGGGTGCAGCCGGCACTAAAGATCCCAGGGTCTTTTTGCAAGTGACCTTCCTGCTGGTGTTTCCTTCTAGAGGAACCAGGGTTTGGGCTTTTTTTCGGTCATGGAACGAACTTCGGTCAATGGCTTTACACGGACGCTGATCATTTATCTTCACGTGGTGCTGCCCTAGCTGAGGATCTCAATGTGCTTTACAAACAGGAATGAACGACAGCCTCCAAACCCCTCTTAGCTGCGTAGAGGGTCTGCGGTGACCCGTCCCCTCCTGCCTCCCCTTATAGATGGGCCACAGAGAAGAAGTGACTTGCCACATTCACACATTTGTAGAGTTGGGAGTCAGGACTCTTGAGTTCCATTCCCAGGCCCAACTGTTCTGACCACTAGACGTTGCTCCCTCCCAGACCTGGGAATGGAGCCCAGGAGTCCTAACGCCTGGTGCTGTCTGCTGTGGCCATTGGTTCTCCTGAAATGTGCAGAAATGTTAATCCTGAACAAAGTTGGTTAGCCTGCTAACAATCTCTTTGGGGTCTATGACCCTGACCCAGGGTTAATGGTGCTTATATGGCTCCCTCGCTGCTGAAGAAACAAAGCCAGGCAGGTAGATCTTGGCGATATTAAAGAAGTATCACAGGCTCTGCAATAAGTTGGACGGCATCTCCTTCTTCAGCACTTATGTTTTATGCCGGTGGATCTTAGAGCTGGCTGAGATGCGTGATCAAGGGAAGCTTAACGAGCAGCTGCCTGAGTTTTGACGGGAGAGAAGTGGCAGGAGACACAAAACAAGGGTGGTGGGGGAGAAAAGATGAATCCAAGATGAACTATCTAGCCACATTAAGCTAGGTGGAAGGAGAAACTGCTTCACTAGAGCGCCCTCTCTCTCCCATCAGACTCCCGAGAGAGAGGTGCAGGTGGGTTGGGATATTTGGCTTTAAAATCGCATCCCCGATTTACCATCTCGCCTTCCACCCTTAAACCTGATTGAACTGGACACTCTCTGCAGAAACGCTCTCCGGTCCCAGCAACACCCAGGTGGTGTGCTAAAAAAGAGACATGTCTGGTGTCTGGCAGGTGGGAAAAGCCAGATAGTAACTGGGCTAGGCGCTGAGCACAGAACAGCCAGTGTCTCTTCTCCCACCGCAGCTCAGAAGCAAAGATCCTCCCTCTGACGGAGCAGACAGCCTCAGCGCTTGTGGTGAGCCACGTGTTAGAGTAGCTGTCGGATCCAGGGTTCTCTTGATGCAGTGGCGGGGTGGGAAATGACAAATGCAACTGAGCAGTGAAGCCGTCTAGCATGTAGGGCAGGATAGGAACCAGAGAGGGAATATCTGAGATCCCATAGAACCCCTCTGCAGAAAGCCAGCTATGGCCTTGCTGGGCTCTGCCAGACACCCCACCACCTCCGATCTCCATGATTAGGGCTCCTTTGCATTCTCGCCCAGATGAGGGGAACTCCCAGTGGGAGAAGGGATGCAGATTTTTCCCTGTATGCTCCTGTCCACCATGAAGGGCTTGGAAGCAAGCTCTCTAATGCTGTCCATCTGCCACCTTGTCAGGTAAGGCAGCACTATCTATCCCCCATCTTTGTGCCAGGGGAAAATCACTTAGTCAAGATCACACAGGAAATCGGTGGCAGAGCTGAGGCTAGAACCCCGGAGTCCGGACTCCCAATGCCCTTTGCTCTAACCACTGGACCGCGCTTCCCTCACAGAGTTGGGTATGAAACCCAGGAGTTGTAACTCTAAGCTCCCTCCTCTCAACTAGCCCACGTGCCCTGCTGGAGCCTGGAGGAAGGAATTCAGGAGTTCTAACTTGCAGAACTCGGCTCAAACCACTCCGCAGCAGCTTTGTCAGGTGACCGAAAGCACATTCTCAGTAGATGCTGGTTGATTTCTGTGCCGCTTTTTCTAATCAATGCGCAGTAAAGCTTGCTAGCAGCTCTTAGCTAGGCTGTCACTAACACAAATATTCTACCCCTTTGCACAAAAATATCCTAGAGGCGCAGTTTTAAATGACTATTTTTTTTTAAGCGTGCGCGCTCTCTCTCTCTCTCTGTCTCTCTCTGCAGACAGGCGCTGTTCAAGAGATGAGATCCAAAGGCGGACGGGAGAGACAATGGAGTAGCTCCAGAGTTTTGTAGCTCTAGCAACGGAGTGTAGCAACAGAGTGTAAGTACCCTGCTATCTTTGTGAATTTTGGAAGAGGAAATTTCCCCTTCTGCATGATGACTGCACAGAACATACTATCTCAATCAATTAATCTGATTAGGTCCAGATGTAAAATCAGTCAGCCATTGGACTGATCACTTTTCAGTTTACTGCTGGTAGGCATTACACACTGAGGTCCGGTAGGTTTCACATTACTGCTGGGGTTTGAGGCCTGAATCTCACTGAAATCCCAGCCTTGGAAACTGTAGGTCGAGACTTTCCAAAGCGCCCAGTGATCTTGGGTGCCTTAATTTTTGGCTCTAACTTGAGGCACCCTAAGGGTATGTCTACACCACACAGTTAGCCCAAGTCTGCAGGACCTGGGCTTGTGGACGCAGTGCTTCCAGCCCGTAACTGAGCGTCCACATTGCACTGTAAACCTGGGCTTACAATTGCTGGGCCCAGGTCTCACAGCCGTGTCAAGTGTCCATACTGCTCTACGCAGACCACCTAACTCAGGTCCGCAGCTTGAGCTGACTGGAGTCACAGCTGGACTCTGGAGGGAGACCCACCCTCCCTGGCAGAGTCCTAGTACCTAGGTCCTGAGAGCTGGCTGAGCCAAATCAGACTAATTTGGGAGTGGATTGGGGGGAGGGCAGGTTAGGCTCAAACCTGAGTCAGAGCCCGGGCTGAGTGTGCAAAGTAGACATACCCTAAAGGGGGTGTGGCTGTTCAGAATCTGCGGGGCCCTCACCTTCTAAAAAATAGGCACCTTCGTAGTGTCTCAAGTTGGGCTGGGTACTTCTGAAAAGCTTGGCCTTCAAATATAATCCTCCCCCAACCCCTTCCTAATCATTTCATATGATTACTCCAGCAGTCTGATCTCCAGATGAACAGAGAGCGCACCCCTACAAACTGCTTACATCATAACGTAAAGCTGTGGGGAAAATCAAAGACCAAACCATTTGCCACCTCCTAAGTTCCTTTCTCATAGGGGGTGAAATTCATCCCTCTGCTGAAAATCAGCACAAGACCCGGGCACAGCTCCGGTCAGCGAGTCCCAAACTTTTGGAAGCTGAAATCCCACCCCTTCAGAAACCGAATCAATCAAACACCCTTCCCTATCTGCACCCCACCCTCAGGTGGCGTTAAAGGCAGATATAACTTAATATAGACATTTGTTTCCCCAAGTCTAGTCTCTGGCATGTCCCATGCTCCCTCTCCTTTCTTACATGCTTTGAACAGTGAAATAGTTAATGATATTGCCATCTGGGGTATCTTCCTTGGCATCTGAACTAGCACCAGCACAGACAAATGAGGCAGCTCATACATCTGAGAGATCATTCCCAGCTCTCTGCAAACTCCGGCAGACAGACGCTCTGGTCACATTTAGGTTTGCTTCTCAAGCATAAGCACTAGAGATGTACGTCTTTAAAAATGAAAGCTGACACTGTAACTGATCAGCCTGTCCATGCCCCCTGGCTAGTCCTTTGTGTCTTCACCCACTCCGGGGGCAGCTCGGACTCCGGGCAAGATTGGTTTAAATCAGGGGTCTCAAACTCAATACCTTAGGGCCAGTGCCAGTCCTCAAATCCTACCAGCGGACCAATAGTGTCACTCATGCCACTCAGAACCCCCCCCCCACAAAACTCTGCCCCCCCCCACAAAACTCCACCCCCCACCTGCCTAAGGCTCTGGGAGGGAGTTTGGGTGGGGAAGGAGGTCTGGGGTAGGGGTTTGGGCTGCACGCTCTGGGAGGGAGTTTGGGTGGAGGAGGGGGTCTGAGGTGCAGGCTCTGGGCTGGAGTTTGGGTGCTGAGTGCAGGCTCTGGGCTGGGGCAGGGGGTGGGGGTGCAGGAGGGGATGTGTGGGAAGGGGGTGCAGGCTCTGGAAGGGAGTTTGGGGGCTGGGGAGTGTTGGAAGGGGGTCAGGGAGTGTGGCACTTACCTGGGGCTCCAAGGCAGGGCAGGCTGGGGGGCCTCTGCACACTGCTGCCCCCAGGCACCGCCCCTGCAGCTTCCCATTGGTCACAGGGGCGCTCCGGGCAGGGGCAGCAGGGAGGGTCTGATGGACATGTGGAGCGAGCAGGCAGATGCTGCTCAGCTCCCCTGCACTGTTGGTGGAGCCCCGAGCCATTGTAAATCGCCTTGGGGCAGCAGGTGGGGCCAAGGGAGAGACCTGGCCCCACAACTGCTGGAGCCCCACGGGCCACATTGGGGAGCTTCTCAGGCCGCAGATGGCCCATGGGCGGGGAGTTTGAGATCCCTGGTTTAAGTGGTGCATAAGCCCTTGTACTGACCTTCTGCGCACAAATGAAATTCACCCACTTCTAGCAATTCAGTCTTCTCTGCCACAAAGGGCAAGTTTTAACTCTTGCTTTAATCTGTTTCACTTTGCAGGTTCTAGGCTATGTCAACAGCCCACACTTGAATTGCCTGTTTGCCAGACCGGTGGAAATACAAATATCTAGCGCTTTATTCACTCGATAACTTATGCAAACTGATCCCAAACTTCAAATTTTTTTTTACATGTTTTCTCAGCATCTAATAAGTTTTCTCTGAAAGTGCAATGTGGGTTTTTTTTTTTTTTTAATACTGAAAGTTCCCCTCCTAACTTACTTGTTCCCCCCCCCCCCCCATGTGAATCCCAGCAGCTTGTGTTTTTGCTGTTGTTGTTGGGTTTTTTTCAGAGCCCTCTAACTCTATTCCTGACTATAAGCACAAAAATAACAGCCACGCACCCGTCTATTCGACAGTCTTTCAGTGCTGCCGTGAAGAATGGAAAGATTAGCCCATAAAACTGTCAGAGCATCGTTTGGTCCCACCTTGGATGGGAGAGGAAAGGTCACTGCTAAAACATTGGTCTTCAAGCTATACGATTTCCTCTTTGGAATTTGATCCAATTCAGGGGCTGATGATCAGGATTGCTGTCAGAGCAAAACACTCCCTTAACACCAATGTGTTCGGTTTAACTGGTCTTTAATAGCACCAGAAGATATTCATGTCAGTGGCGCTACGCAACTTAATTAGCCGAGTTTTAAGATGGGAATATTCATGAGTGATGGAGGGTCTAGTTGTCAGAGAGCGGAACTCCTGACTGCTAGTCCTGCCTCGAACGCAGATTCCTCTTGCAGCTTGCTCTTAAGTGCTTTCCTGAGTCAACGCCTTAGGCCTACATTTTAAAAGGTCCCCACTCATTTTGGGTGCCCAGCTTGAAGGCACCTCGGGGGCTGATTTTCACAGGTGCCAAGCTTCTGGAGTTTGGGGGTGTGGTCCAGCTGAAAATCAGGCTCTTGGTGTCGCAAGTTGAGCACCCAAAATTAGTAGACTATTTTCAAAGGGCTGGCCTCCCTGCCTCAGTTTCCCCAGCTCGTAACAACGTGCCTACCTCACAGGGATGTTGTGAGGATTAGCATTCTGCAAAGAGCTGTTTGTGCTATATAACAGGACTATTAGAAGAAATGGATTTACCCAGTGGTCTTGATACTTCTTCAGGTGCACGATGAAATGCACAACACAGCAATCAACAGTGTACTTAAAAAGACATGTTAATGGCCAAGATCTTCAGAACTGAATAGTGATCTTCAGGGCCTCAGTTTGGAGACACCGTAATGTGGCTTGATTTTCAGAAAGCGAGGCGCACCTCTGAAAAACATCCCTCCTCAAGTCCCAAGTTACTTTTGAACAACTTTAGCCTGCAGCTTTAAGACCTGTCTCGTGCAGCGTGTGGAACAGTTTTCTGTGAATAGATCAGTCCTGTAAGAGGTGGTACATATAAACTACTGTCATGGTTGAAAGGGGATCTTCCTCCATATTTCTGTTAGAGATGTCAGTGTGGTACATGCGTGGTTTTTTTGTTTTGGTTTTAAGACAGAAAACTAGTTTAGAAGAGTCCTCAGCTATACTGTCCTAATAATGCGTAAATAGACAATGGCCCCGGAGACAAATTCCTAAAGGTGAATCGCCTAGCGATGATTCAGTATCCCCTCGCAAACACGTCTGAAGAATTACGGTTACTACCTGTTTCTGATTGAGGTGTCCTCCAGGAGAGAGCATCGGTCTTCATGAAACTGTACCTGCAATACACTTCCTCTAAAGTGTACCCATGCTAGCAGGAACTGGTCCCATCCAAAGTCACTGTGGATACAGTCATAATTGTTCTCTTTAAGGCCCAGTCCAAAGCCTGTTGATGGAAAGAACAGCATTGGCTTCAAGGAGCTATGGAGCAGGCCTTTAATATGTGACCATAAAGTTTTCAATAATGAGAAGTGGGGGCCTGAGGGATAAGGCAGACACCGCTTGCTGCAATGATTCCAACACATCCACAGCCAGGGGGAATAAGGGTGCTTTGAGGGCGACTCGCTCTAAGTGAAATATGCTCTGGGAATGCAAAGTCTCTTCAAAGTGTTCGTCTCTGAATCTCTCCCTACATCCACCTTTGAAACTAGTCCCCTGGTACATTCCCCAGAAGAGCAAGCAGCTGATCTGTCTTTTATCTATGGGGGGGGGCATTACTCCCCATTACCCCCGGCTTACAGGCAGTGGGCCCAATTCATCTCTTTACTGGAGTAACTCCCACTGAGCTCAGTGCAGTAACTCTTGATTTATGACCATACACGGGAGAGCAGGAGCTGCCCAGGGTGTAAGCCGGCAGAGAATTTTGGTCCGTAGCTGTGCAAAGCAGGACGTCTGCCATAAGGGGAAGGACTAAATCTTGGAACAGCAAATGAATCATGTGCAGCTAACGGTCGCTACAGCTCTGCTTCAGGATTCCCATCAAAGAGAGTGGCAGTCAGTTATCGCTACAGTGGACAAGAGCTGCTATGGTTGGTACAGAGTATAAACATCAGTGTGGTTTACCAAGTGGCTTAGACTGAGGAGTATCCAAGGCCTGCAGAGCTTGCTAGCCCCACCTTTAAACCGCCTTGTTTTGTGAAGGGCCGGACGGCTTGGGGGACCTGGTCGTGGGATACGGAGCTTCTTAAATTCTAGGCTGCTCCTGCAAATTCAGCCCATATCAGTAGCCACGGAAAGCTATCGTTAGCCATCTGACAGCTGTTTGGTGAGTCTCCGCCCCAGTGACACACGCCGCTATTGCGATCGCTGGTAGTCTCTACGGCAAGGCCCAGGTTTGGATGCACTATGGCAACTGGATTCCCCTCTGGAGCAGAGTGAAAGACACTAGTTGGGCTATGTGTTGTGGGAAGCTTGCCTTGCTACTGCCCCAGCGGGAGGGAAGATGTTGGTCTCCAAAGGTCTCAATCTGGTGCCTTTTACTGGCATTAAATTCACCCCAAAATTAGGAAAAATAATCTGTGTCGGGAACTGTAGGCGCTCACAGTTGACTTAATGTTTCAAATTGTATGTCCCAACATGCTTGTGGATTAGTAAATTGCAACCACACATCTTTGTGTATCATTGCTTAGCTATATACATGCACACTCTGGTCAAAGGTGAGAAGGAAACTGTGTATTGCAGTCTCTGTTTTTGCTTCACGTGCTAGGCTGCCAGTTTATGAAAAGTTTTAGGCCTGATTTGCATTGAAAGCAGAAGATATTCTGGATGAAGCTGTGAAAGCTGACCTATGGAGATAAAATCAGTTCTTCTGCAGAAAGCTAGTCCGTGCTCTTCCACTGATTTTTTTTTTTTTTTCTTCCTGTAGCGTGTTGCTTTCCTTGGTATTTTATATATGAACTGCAGATGCTGATTCAGTTTTTCCAAAACCTGATACTAAAACTTTTTTGTGCTATCCTGAGGGAGTGTGTCTTTAGAACTGCCAAATGCATTTGTTGACATGGAACAGTTTGTCAAAATGGGGATGCTGCCATCCTTTCTATGAGCACATGGTGAGGTGTGTGTGTGTGTGTGTGTGTGTGTGTTGGGGGGCGGGGAGGGGTGTTAAATGGTTTGCCCTGAACTGGAGTCTGTTTGATGTACAGTTAAGATCCTGACAGTCTCTGCATTTTATTTTTTTTAGTCCTGTTTGTAAATTGACAGTTAGAAATTTACATAAAACTACTGTTTAGCTCAGGCTCTGAAGGCCTGTTGCAAAAGCATCTTGTTTGCCTGCTAGTGTTCCTACAAAGTGAAGGGGCATTATTGGTCAGCATGCCAGGTTCCAGTCAGAGGAACAAGCACTCCTCTTTTAGATTAGTGGAAATGCAGAGTGCCTCCATCTAACTCGGTGTAAATCCAGAATAACACTGATGGCAACACTGGATTTACACTAGTTTAAATGAGGGCAGAACCTGGCCTTGAATTGGTGACATTTCACACAACAGAGTAGGAAACACACCATTTTGTTTGTTGCAAAATGCGCATCTATTTTTGCAAGCTTTCAGAAGAAGATTTTAACTACCATTTGGAACCTGATCTCGATCACACAGGTGCAAATCTTTGCATCTGACTCCAGAAGAGTTGCTCCAGGTATACCCTGCTGACAGAAATCAAATCTGGCCCTGTGACTTTTAAAAAAAAAAATCACTGTCAGGTTAAATCATATTTTAAAACCTCACAAAATAAATTTCTGTATTGTTAGATGATTGTAACTGGAAAAAAAAATTAAAAGTCAAGTTCACGTTTCACTATTTATGTAGTTTTTATTACTTTGTATGTTTCTTTCAGCTTTGACAGTGAAAATAGGTCATTTTCCCCTTTTGGTTTCTAGTCAGTTTCAGTTTTATGTTCACCACCACTAGCCCAACACTGCAGTGTTTTGCAACCCAAATACTGCAGGGGGATGTAATGTTTGTGTGGTGGTTTTTGTTTTTAAATTGTTTCAATTTTTTAAATTTTATTTTCTATCTATAAATGGATATTGGTTTATAAAAGCTTGTTTTTAAACAAAACCTGAGTTTTGGATCCCAATTTGACCTGACAGGTCACTATTAAATGAAAATCATCCCTTCCCTACCAACCTCTCTGGTATCAGTGCAAAACCCTTTCTTACCATGCTCTGCATGTCTGTTTGCATTGAGAAACAAAATAAGGACCAATATTCTGCAGTCCTTAATCGAACCAAACTTCCATTGACGTTAACAAGCACCCTGCTCTTACTGGAGTCAAGGGCCAAGTGTGATACGCTCATTTTAAGGCCCTGATCCTGCCCCATTGAAGTCAATGGGAGTCTTGCCACTGGGAACAAGCTTTAGCACTAAAGGCCTGAAGCCACAGGAGGCAGGAGGGGCCTGATTCTCTGTTGTCCTGCATGTTGTACGCTCATTTACATGAATGCAAATATTGCCGAACAGAATGGCAGTGACTTTACATGCTTTAAATAACTGCACATCGTGCAGGATGATGGAGAATGACAAGGACATTTCTTCACACATGACTAGGAGGCAGCAAGGAACCTGTACTTGTCCATTTATTTATCCTCAAGAGTTTCCCAATGAGCAGAAGCAATTGGGGCAAATCAAATGCAAAAGCGAGATCTGGAACAGTCTTAGGCAGAGTCCAGAATCCCTGTGGATAAAATAATCCTGAAAAACAACCATCTCACTCAATGCTGCAGAAGCCTGATGGCTTTCTCTGCTCTGCCAAATCCTCTCTTTGCTGAAAGAGTTCTGGCAAAGGCCATTTCTCTTTTACTTCCTGGCTGTTTTGGAG